CTTACACAAGGATTGTGGCCTATCTGTGGAGAGCTGATGACCCTGGCATTGACTCTCAAAACCTTGTGTGGAGTGGGATGGAGGCAAGGCCTCACGTCAGGTGTCCTGACGGAAGAAAGCCTTATTCTGGGTTCCATGGACAGAAGCCAGGTGTGCCCATGTCCCCACCTTACATCTGGACAAGCTGTGATGGGACATGCTGGTAACAGCCTTGGGTTGGTGCCACTCCAGGGACCCTGTCTTGTCCCTCCCTGGCTCCCACTCCCCTTTGCAGCCTCTGGTGCCCAGTGGTCTATCTGCTGTGGTGGCAGTGCTCCCAGGGAAAGCTAGACAAGAAGGAAGCAGAGAGGGATAAAGGGCTAAGGATTCAGGAAGCAGCTCAAGGGCAGTGTCAGGACAAGCCTTGGACTTGGGCAGGGAGGAACAAGTCTTCTGCCCACATTCTCATTATGGCTTCCTTTTCCAGCTTCAATCAAACAGGAACTTATCTTTTGCCAGTGTGGATGTTCTCTTAGCTGGTGGGCTCTCTGAGGCAGGGGCTGCATGTGATGCTTCTCTGCACACTCATGCATTGAGCACCAACAGTGTACCAGGCACTGGGGACTCCCAGTCTAGGGTTTGGTGGCTGGACACATGAATGCCCATTGGTCAAAAACCTTATGAAGTAGAGTAATGGGCATGATCCTTGAAACTAGCATGTGTGGGTTGTAGGCTCTCCTACTAACTAGCTATGTGACCATGGGCAAGTCATTTACCTGTTCTGAATCTTGGTTTTCTCATTTGTAAAAGAGAGGATGATGACACATACTATAAAGAGCTGTCATAAGGGGTAAGGCATATGTTGAATGCATGACATATCATTAGTGGTCCACAAACTCACTATGCCTCGGTTTCCTCATCTGTAGAGTGATGAGGAAGTTTTACTCGATGGTGTTTTGTGAGAATTAATAAGTTAATACATGGAAAGTGTTAGAACAGTCCGTGCTTCATAGTAAATATTATGAAGTACTAAGATATAATTATCAGTATTTTGCTGTCCCAATTTTATCATCTACATCTATCTATCTATCTATCTATCTATCTATCTATCTATCTATCTATCTATCTATCTGCTAAACTCTAGTCCTTATTTGTATCTTACTCGTTTTTCCACTACTATCCTCTTTCTGCTCTAGGATCCCATCCAAGGTACCACGTGAAAATTTGTCATGTATTCTTAGTTTTCTCTGGTCTGTGACAGTTTCTGTCTATTTTTCGTTTTCAGGACCTTGACAGTTTTGAGGAGTACTGGTCAGATATTTTGTAGAATGTCCTCAATTTGGGTGTGTCTGGTGGTTTTCTCACGGTTAGGCTGTGGTTATGGCTTTGGGGGATGAATACCACAGAGGTGAAGTGCTCTTCTTATCACACCCCCAATTTTATTTTTAATGGGAATGAATTCTTTGGATCCCTTTGTTTGGGTTTTTCTTTGGGGTGGAGAGAAGGAAGTCTGGGAGGGTAAAAGCAACGCTCAGCCAACTTAAGTTAAGACCATGGGGTCTTGGACCATGACCTTGGGTGGGAGAGGTGGCCAGGCTGGTCAGAGGTGGGCAGAGCAGGACTTATAATTCAGCATGAACTAAACTCCAAGAGAAGGCAAGAAGGGAGGTTCTAATGGGGAGCCTCTGGCCCAGGCTGAGGAGACCCATGGGGTAGGAGGTGGATAGAGAGGAAATAGGAGAAGAACTAAAGGCAAGCTTCCCCTCTCAGCTGGACTGTCCTGAGGGACCTCATCAGCAGGAACCCCAAAAGAGACCATAAGCCCCAATAGCACTGGCATCCCAAGCCCAAGGTACAGAAGGACTTGGGACATCCTGGATTACATCGTCCATTGCACGTGCCAACGCAGCTGAATCTGGGGAACTGGGAGGACCATCTGGAACCTGCCTGAGTGCCTGGCCAGAGAAGCATCTCCCAGCTGTGGGAGTGTGCCTCTGAGAAATGGAGGCAGGATCAAAACAGAGCCCTCAGGCACCCGGCTTGTGACTGTACCCAAGTGAGCTCTCCTTCCTGAAATGCTAGAGCCATGGCTGGTAAACAAGCTCTGCCTCTTTGCCTAGGATCTCGGGGGCTTTTTTTGGAAATCCGAACCTGCCCTGGGGCACAGGTACATCCAGTGGCAGGAGCTGGGGGGTAGGTTCTCTGCCACCTGCATACCTGGGTCTACCTGCCCCTCCATGGTTTGGGCTCTGAGGCCTTCTGGTTCCTGCCCTGTCTCATCCTTCCTCCTTTCCCTTCTCCTCAGGCTGGGCAGTCCTAGGGGCTATCATGCAACATTTGGGATCCAGACAATTCTCTAAAGGTTCTGATTTGCCCCAGGAACCCCAGGGCTGGAGTAAGGGAGGTGGGGGGAGCTGGAAGCCTGAGCTGGGACTTCGGTCAGGGAACTACTGTAGACAAATTACTTCCCCACTCTGGGCCCAGTTTTCTCATGTGTGAAATGAGGGATCAGATTCAATTATTTTCCTTACTGCCCTTTTACAAAACTATATTAGTTGCATTAATTATTAGTCTATAATCTATAGATTATATATAATCCATAATCAAGAATTTATTACATTAACAAAAATCCAAGATAAAAATTGCCCATGATCCATCCTGAAATGACATTAATATTTGTGTTGGTTCCTGACATTTTCTAGTCCTTGTTCAGATATATATTCAATTTTAATGTATTTACAGTGATACCATAAGTAGGAATTTATCTTGAACGTTTTTCAGCTAACATTACACCAAGCATATCTTTCCCTTTCCTTTTTTTGCCTCCTTTGTCCTGCTCTCTTCTTGCTGAGGTAGCCAACGTGAACCACTTAGTTATATATGTACTCATCTAGAAATACAGTACACTGTATAGAATATGCATTTGAGGGAGAGGAGTCATTGTTTGTTCTACAAAACTATATACATTTCTCTGCAGCTTGCTTTTCTCATTTAGCCATACGTTGTAGAAATCCATGCCGGCCAACAGATATCATGCATAATTCCATACAGAGAGATAACACATAACTCCATGGGATGGATGAAGCTATCCCAATGTATTCAACCAGTCCCTGATTGGTGGGGTCTCTGGTAATTTCCAGCTGTTTTTTTCCGCCCACTAAAAACAACTCCACCACATTTTGTACAAATACCTTTATGAACGGTTATTTGCATTTCTAAGGTATAAAATTCCAGAGGCGGGATTGCTGGGTCAGAAGACATGTGTTCTTTTTAATTTCCAAAAACAACTGTAAAAATCCACAACCACACAGGCAGTGGATTAGGGCACTTCTCTGCCCACATTCTCACCAGCCCTTGTAGTTACTTGTCTTTCTAATGCCTGCCGGTTCAATGGATGAGAAATGGCATCTCTGTGTTGCTTCCATTTGCACTTTCCTATTTACTAGTAAGGTAGAGCATCTTTCCATCTATTTGTTAGCTCTTTGGATTTCCTTTTCTGTCAAGCAGAATTCATGTCCTTTGCCCATTTTTTCTACTGGCTCTGTCTTTGCATTATGAATTTGTGGGATCTCAGGGTAGGATACGCACTTGCCTTCTGCCATATGTATTGCAAATATATTTTCCCACTCGATCATTTGTCGTTTGACTTACTAGAGTATCGTTTCCCACACAAGATGCTTTCATTTTATGTAGTCAGATATATTTCTTTTTCTTAATGGCATTTCAATTTCCCGTTTTGTTTTAAAAGTCTTCCCAACACATAAGCTGTCTTCCTAAGTTTCCTTGTAAATTTTCCCTTGTTTTACTTTTTCCCACTGAAACATGAAATCCTACTGGAGTTATTTTTGTTAAATTAAGGTAGGCTCCAACATTATTTTCTCCCGTGAGAAGAGCCAAACTCAGCAGTTTCTAATCTATGCTCTTGCAATCGTGGGGCCCCCAAGAGACACCTGGGAGGTGGCTACCAAACTTGGGGCTAGCTGGTCAGGGAGGTGGCATGGACCTCCCACTTCCTGCCCATAGAGCTCTTCCACTTTGGTTACTTTATAAAAGGGCTCCCAGGAAAGATTGGGTTTGGACAAAGTGTTCTGAGGCTAAAAGGAGTTTAAACACCTCTTTCAGGCAATCTTTGGGGGCCCCTCCAGGTCTGACATTCTCTGACTCCACGATGGTGAACACTTGCTAAGGGAGAGAAGACGACATGTCAGCATAACTTTATCCAAAAGTAACTTTAATATTAAATCCCAAGGTGGCTCAAAGTAGATATTAGAATCACAGAGTTTTTACAATGGAAGGCACCTTGGAAATCATCTAGTCTAATGGCTCTCAATTCTGGCTACTGTTCGAATCACCTGGGAGTTTATAAAAGTCCTGGTGTCCCTGACCTGGGGCGGTGGGGGGGGCGGGTGGCAAGGGGGGCGGAGGGGAGGGACCAGGCATTGATGGCTGAAAAAGTCTCCTGGTGATTGTAATCAGCAGCTAGTGTTGAAGACCACTTCTCTAGTTTAACTCCCTTATTTCATTAGCAAATAAATTGAGACCCAGGAAAGGTAAATGAGGTATCACACAGCTGGCTAGCTGTAGCGTTGGCACTTGAACCTTTATCTCTGCCTCTCAGTTGGCTTTTTCATTTGCATCAAACCAATCCCTCATCAAACACCATGCCTTGGATTTTCAGCCGGCCACACTAAAATCTCTGTATGAGTGCTTTGTATCTTTGCATGTGGTCAGCTTAAACACGTTCACTGCATACAGTTCTGTGCATCATAGATGAATAGACCTAGTTCAGCCTTGCTGGACCGAAGTGGGGAATGGAATTATAAAGAACTATAATGATAAAAGAGCCAAATTAACGGTACATCCTATGCAGAGGAACCTACTGCAGGGCTGGGGCTCAGAAGGAGGAAGAGTTAGCTGATGGGATGTCCGGGGGCTGCAAACAGAGATAGGGATGCCTTGGTGCCGGCTGGGCCCAGCCTGTCAAGGCCACCTCTGACCTTCTCCCTCTGCTCTCTCTTCAGGAATGAGACTGTGTTACACCAGTTCTGCTGCCCAGCTGCCGACGCTGAACAGAAGCCCGCCAGCTCCGACTTGGCCTCCCAAAGGTGGGAATGAATTGGTGGCCGTCCTCCTTTCCCCACCCCCACCGTCCTTCCCCTTGGAGCAAAGCACACCACACAGCGCCTCTTGCTCTGAGTCCTGTGTTCTTGTTTGTCTGTTTTTGCCTTCTGCCTCCTGCTTCTATTTCTCTTTCCTTCCTTTGGGCCCCAGATGAGCCATTCCCAACTCTTGAGGTCATTATACCCTATTGTTCAAACTCCAAACTTAGGCTCCTTCCCCCAAACGGCCTACATAACATGTCATCTTTTTAAACGTCAAGGGAAATTAAATTAGATTATGCAGAGTGTGTATATACATATATACACTCTGAATATATATATACATATATATGTGTGTGTATATATATATATACATATATATATATAAAATCACATAGGTTGTCTGGCACTCAGGAGGGGCTCAACCAATGGTAGCACCCATCCTTTCTATTATAGCAAAGATTGACACTTTTCTTTCTTTCCCCTTCCATAAAGGAGCCAAGATGACTGAGCTTAATTTTCAGGATTTCGAAACTTCACTGTGATAGCTGTTGACCTGGGAAGGAAGGGGGAATGTTGGGTCAAGGTCCGATGTCACTGTCCCTGGCTTTCCTCATCTTATTGTGGGTTAGTCATGGTCCCTCTTTCTTTGATTAATTTTTAAAAATTAATTAATTTTTTTTTACTAGGGAAATAAATATTTAATAGTCACTGATAACATCTCAGGGTAGTAAAATTAAATATACATATGTATACATATTTACATTTTTTTGATTGGCACAGGCATGGCATGCCCATCTAATGAGACAGAAAATGTGGGTTTTACAGCACATATTTCGGGTCTTTCCAATATTGCCAACAAAATAGCAGCCTTCTGTGGGAAATAGTCATAGTCATCAAAAAAATCTATTTGTTAGGTTTTAAATGTACTATAAATTTTTCACTTTACTGGGGAGATCATGCATGTTCCTCTAGGTTTATGTGCATCACCGTCATCACATTCGTAAAGCCTGCCCGGGAAGAAGGGCAGTGAGTCACCCAGCGCTGCCTGGATAGGCTTGAACACCGCAAGGCAGCTCCCAGCTCGGCCGGCTTCCCACACTCTGACCCCTCTCCACGTGTCAGCTCCTGGCTGTTTGCTGTGGACATGTTACATCTCAGGACTGACACCTTCATTCTGTCTTTGGGTTTCTTAAGCTCAAGACTTTCCTGAAATGTAAGTGCAGGGAAATACTTCTGTTCCGTGCCAGCCACTTCCCCAGTGAGAGTATGGGCATGAGAGCCAACATGAGCTGCTGACCTCACTGGCCCTCTGTCCGCCCGCCTCCTATTTTGTTGTCCCTCCTCCTCATGCTCTCGTCTGCCTTCTTCCACCTTCACCTGTCCCTCCAGCGCTCTTCTACCTTCCCGATGCCAAATTCCTCTCCTCTTGCTTGTCTTGATCCCTGCGCTGTCAACCTGGGTCCCTTGTTATGCTTTGTTCTCTTTCCACCAATTTTCCTGTCTCAGTCCTGCACATTTCTCTTTTCTTTACTTGTTCCTGACTTCACTGGGAGAAAAGATACTTGGATTCTGGCCAGAAAGTTGCCCCATCTACAGTCTCCTGTTGTTGGGACTCATTTGAGCAAGTTGCTTAGCTCCCCTGGGCCTCAGTTTCCCCATCTGTATAATCAAGAGGGTGATCTATCTGGAAAGTAACGTTGACATTTTATCTCATTGAGTCTCTCAGCTGCTCAGTGAGGTTAGACCAGGCAGGTTTTCTCATCCCTGTCTCATGTAAGAGCAAGGGGAGTTTCGGAGTACTCAAGGGCCTTGCCCGCAATCACACAGCCAGAAAGTACCAGTACCCAGACTCACCCTGAGCATGTGACTCCTATTGCTCAGAATTTCCAGGTTTAAGACTCAAAGATGCCATGATCTTTCCTCCTTTGTTCCTTGGAAAGGAACTAGATAGTAATCAGAATGGTAGCTATTGACATAAAGCCACCCCTGAAAGGTGTTACTACTGGGAAATCAGGATCAGGGAGGAGGCAGGACTCCGAGAAGGGAACTCGAGGAGTTAAGCCAAAACCAGGGGCACACCTTCAGGATCCTTCAATCCAGGACCGAGGGAGGCTTGGTTGTTCCCTAAGGCTGACCAGGTTAGAGGATGGAAGGCAAAGGGAAGAACTGAGTGAGCACTGTGCCGGCGCCCTGGGTGGCCTGGGGGCCAAGTTCTGTGCCAGGGACAGAAGCATGAGAAAGGCCACTTGAATTCTGGAGGAACTCCCCATCTAGTGGGGCACTGTGATGCCCCCAAATGGATGATAGCTTGCCCGGAAACCGACTGGAAGGAGAAAGAAAGGGGAGAATGAGACGGGGGAGAGGAAAAGAAAGAGGACAGAGAGTGGAGTGGCATCGGGGTGGTCTGCAAAGAAGGAGACTGAGGGCCTTGGCCCCTCCTCATGAGCTGTCACTGTTAAGATACACAGCGGAGTCGTCTTCTTCAACATGTCCTCCTTCGCAGGGCAGGGAGAAGAGAGGAAAGCTGTCTAGTCTGCCTCCCACCCCATCAATCTAGCTCAATTCAGGGAACGTTTAATTACCACCACCCAAGCACCAGGCATCAGTGAAGACAGATTGCGGGGTGCCCTCAAACTCAGTCCTGGGGGGGCGCCGGCAACAGAAATCCTCCCTAGGGTTTTCCACGCTCATCCTCTCACTCTCATCCTTCCCATTCCTTCACGTGCCCACACTCCTCTGCCTGCTGGGTCCACCCTGAGGCTCTGGATTCTGGTGGGAAGGGGTGGGAGGAGCTGCTGTGCCATGTGGGAGAGGGGGCCGGTGTGGGAGGGGTGCTCCCCCCTCATGGGAGCTGGGGCGCCAAGGGAATGGGCTTCTTTTCCAAGCTTTGGGGCAGGAAGGTAGGAAATCTACTCTCTTAGTTTCCCCTTGGAGGGACAGGTGCCGAGGTTGGGGCGGAGGTGCTCTGGGAAGGAGGGTGGGAGAACATTCGATCATGGAGGGTCTGTGAACACTGCCCACCTCAGCCCTCCCCTCTGGGTGGGGCAGGGAGACATGCCCCCAGTTGGTCCAGACCTTCAGCAGCTGAAGCAGCCTCTGTTCCCAGGTATTCCAAGTTGTCCTGTCTGTTTGGTTTGTAGTTTCCTAGAGTGTATTTCTGTCTGTCTGTGTCTCTGATGTCCGTTTCTCGGCTTCTCTGGGAGGAGGCCTTCTGGATGTTTTCTGACAGTCCAACAGTGTATATGTCAGTCAAGTCTGTCTGTTCTTGGCTTCCTGGGGGAATTCCATGCTGAGAAAGTTTTCTTCCATGAGACCCCTGACATCCCTGCTCCCAGCCCTATCCTTGACTCCTTCACAGCCCCTTATCACTTTCCTTTAACCAGGTGTCCCACCTCTACAGGGGGTAGCCCAGACCTCCCTGTGAATATCTCTCTGAGAATGTGCCAAGGTCAGAGACTGGGCTGAGGGCTAGCGCAGGGTGGGTGGGTCACAAAGTCCCCTGGGCCACCCTGGGAGATCCTGGGCTGGGCTGCAGGGCTCTGAGACAAGCCAGGCTCCAGCCCAATCAGCCTCCTCTGAGTTCTCTGAGGATAAGTCCATTCGTCTCTACAGGAGACCCCAATAAGAAAGCTAAACCAATCAATCAGGTCTTAGGATCACTGGGGCCTTTGGCATGTGACCTCAGAGCCGACTCCCTCCAAAAATGTCCAAGTTTGGGGTGTCTGTCCCTTCCCTGCCAAACCCCGAGCTGTGGGGCTGAGCAGGAATCCCTTCCTTAAGCCGCTGGACTCATCCTCTGGGGGCTGCATGGCCGCTGGTCTTTATCAGCTGGTCACCCACAGCCCCATCTGTCAGACCTGTGGGGAGGAGCTGCCAGAGCCCGAGGCAAACTCTCAGCCCAGGGGAGAGACCTGGCCGGGAGAAATCCTCAGCCCTCCCAAGAGGCAGCCAAGCTCAAGCCCTGGGGGAGGGGGTGTTGCTGGGACAGCCTGCTCGCCCACGGATAGCGCAGCCTTTGGGGGATGGGGTCAGGAGAAACGCTTGGGACCTGGAGCCTGCCAGGGAGCGATGCTCCAAGAAGTGGGAAGACCGAAAGTGCAGCAAGTCTGGGAGCTGGGTATCTGTAAGAAAGGAGGCCAAGGGGTGGGCCTCAGGGACTGGGGTGCACTGGAGCAGTCGTGGGGCTGGAGAGGCCTCTGAGGCTGGACCACCCGACAAGGTGCCTAGGCTCGCAAACCTGCGGGCAAACCGCCTACGCTTCCCAGGGTAATGAGGCCCTCAGGTGAGAGCTGGGGGGGGGGGGGGGTGTGCAGCCCTGAGCAGCCAACCAGGGCAGCAAGTGCGTACCAGGCTCTTTCTTCCCCCTTCGCTACCTCCTCCTGCTGCTAGCTAATGACAAGGGCTTTATTCTAGGGAACTGAATAGGCTCATAATTGCAGCCCTACTTTCAATCCCGTGGCTCTCCTCCCTCTCAGGCTCTCAGTGACACTTGGAACAATGACCCTGCAACTGGCCAGCCACCTCCCAGCATCCAGCAGAACGGCAGGCCATTTGTCTCTGTGGGTGGCAACGGGGCCAAGTTGAGGAAGATTGGCTTCTATTAGAGTCATGAAAGGAGGCTCGTTGGGGTGGGCGTGGGGGCTCAGGAAGGGGAGGCCTAGGGAGGAAACAGAACAACCCCCAGCCCTGGGGAGGAATGGGGGATCTGGAGAGGCCAAAGCAGACTCAACTGACTCACCCCTGGTGTTTGGTCCTTCCTCTTCACGTACCCCTTACTCCAGGATGGGAGAGACACTAATACTTCTTGAACGTAATATTTATTGAACATTCCAGAGATGTTGCACTAAGCCCTCTCAGTATTTTATCTCAATTCGGTGAGAGAGCTATTATTCCCATTTGTAGATCTGGGATGGAGAGAAGTCCCGTGTCTTGATAGAGGGACCACGCTAATCAGTTCTGGAGGTGGAAGGTGAACTCAAATATAACTCCAAAATGCAACCTTT